TATAATCATTCCTTTCTTATTCTCATCTTTTATCTATTTAAGCAGCTGGTATTGTTGATGTGGGTGTGAATCGGTGACAAAAATAGTCATACCCACATATTCACATCTGATTGTTTTTCTTTTCTAGACTTCAATCTTAGACGCTGTACAAATACACACAAGTCTTCGTTTAACCCACTATAGTCAATAACACATGGTAGACTACAATCCATGTGTTTCCTCTACCCTTTTACTAAACAGAAATATTCATTTTCAAAGGCAAACTTTGTTTGGCATTTTTCTCAAAACAAGTTTTTTTTAAAATTTTTTTTTCTTGTGCATCTCAGATTTCTCAACCATTTTCCATAATTTTATTCTTGAAAAAAATGAATCTTTTTCCATAGAATTATTCCCTTTTTTTCCAATAAAACTGATGCCAAAAATTGATAAGGATTAATTTGGTGTGAGTGTGGGTTCTGTTGAAGAGAAGATCCATACCCATAGCCACACCCACACTCGAATATATGATGGGGTCGGCTTTTATCAATAAATAAACATTTTCCATCTGTAAATTTAATTAATAATGAATATTCATTAGGTTGTACCTAAAAAAAATTCAATTGTACTCGATCGAAAAGAACTTCCAATGTTAAAATGGTTATTATTTAACATATCCATCGACATATTTTAAAATTATTGGTGATACTCTTGAAAATTAGGTTTATATTCAATGGTACACTTATACATGGTGAAAAAAAATTGATTATAACAAACGATATTTTCTTGATAATAATGTTGAAATAGCTTTTGCATCAAAAACCCATCATGTTTATATCTATATTGATAGAAAAGCAGGAGAAGATTTAACTATTCCATTGATTGTACGTGAAAAAATATATATTGTTTTGCGAGAAATTGTTAGATGGTTTTTTGTCCTTTATTGAATAAAACTATTTTCTAAAAACTTAAAATTGAATCTACAAAAAAATAATATACGGTAAGTGTGGATGTGGATGTAAATTTTCTTTAAACTCACTACACTTACACTGAATCATATAAATAGATCGTATACTGAGTCAAGAAACAATAAACACTTGTAAAATAAAAGAACAAACATTCGAGATAAGAAGTCCTTGAAGTCGATAACAACTAGCCAAACAAAACCGAAAGTGTCAACATAAAAAGAAGAAAAAAACCAAAACATTTTTTAGAGATAGAGACGAGGTGTCTTTTATTTTTGTTGGTTGATACTATGTACAACAAGTATTTATGTTTTCATTTATTCACATAAATTAAAAAAACGAAAACGTCGCCACCATCACCATCATCATTACTATTATAATGGACAATAAAAATCTAAAACAAGGTGCTAGTGACTCATCATCATCTACAGCAAGTAACACAAATAAATCATCCTCAGTAGAAGCAGGTGCAACAACAGTGGTGAGCAGAAGTGCCACACTGCCCCGACCCGTTCGTCGGGTTATACAAAATTTTCTTCTCGTCTGGTTGGATGCAAATATTGATGAGACGAAAGAAGATTTCAAAAATTCATTGCAACATCTTCGAAAACTTGTGGCATCCATCACAACGTTTAAGGATCCTCAACAATGTGTTAATTTCCTTAGTGAACTTAAAAAAGAAAAGATATTTTTCATTGTATCTGGTGCATTAGGACGACAAATAGTACCAGAAATTCAAGCAATGCCACAGTTAGAAACAATATATGTTTTCTGTGACAATGAATCATATCATGAAGAATGGACTAAAACTGTATCAAAGGTCAAAGGAGTTTATACTGATATTGAATCAATTTGTCAAGCACTAGAAATCGATCGAGAACGATGCGATCGAGCTATGATCTCGATTAGCTTTAAGGGTCTCGATCCTCTGTTCATGTATACACAATTGTTAAAAGAAACACTTTTAGAAATCGAAGATGATTATAGACAATCTATCAAAGACCTGGCTGAATATTGTCGTGAACAGGATGATATTCCTGAAGATCAAATTAAACAAGTCGAAAATGAATATCGTAATCATACACCAATATGGTGGTATACAGCTGAAACATTTATTTATTCGATGCTTAATCGTGGACTTCGACAAATGGATGTCAATATAATGCTTAGGATGGGTTTCTTCATTCGTCATCTACATAATCATATCGCACAACTCCATCGCGAACAACAAGGCAGCATGCCAATAAA